GGTGATTGCGTTTTGTTTGAGTTTGTTCTTTTTTCATTTTAGTTTGCTCTCATTTTCTTTCCGTCGCAGAACCTTCCATACAGCGGCTTCGTGTGAGAACCCTCGCAAGTCGATTTCTTTTGTTTGGTGATTGCGTCTTGTTTAAGGCATTTGTCCTGCTGCCGCACATGGATGGTGAGCTGGGTCTTGTCATGCGCTTCGGGTTCCACTATGAAGATCCACTCCCCGTTGTGCCACTGCTCATTCCCAAATCGGCTTGTAACGCTGCTGCTTGCCAGCGTAGACCGCTCTGGCACAACGAAAAGGCTGGTCTGCTTCACGCTGGTACTTGGGGATCTGGGCTCGTCCTACCTGGATCTGGCCATGGAAGGTGAGCAAATCCGTTTGACCATGTCTAAGAAGTCGTTTCGAGCGTCTTTAGTTCACGATCACTTGGTACTTACCCATCAGTCGCGATTGTTCTGAGAAGCGTTTGTGTCGTTTTTGTTGCGACGGCACGGCTATTTTAAAGAGTTGACCGCTTGAGGCATGGCGTGCAGCCTTCAAAGGCAAAGGCTTCAAGTCCGATAGTTTGAAATGGAAAACCCCTTGCCATTGAAGGCTTCTTCAAGCAGCAAACGGGCATTGCAAGCTGGATGTGACCAGAAACTCTTATCAACGTACGTGCAGCCATTATGCCAGTCGCAGGCTCCGTATTCGAATGCAACATTGCAGAGCAATGTCACATCATTTCAGGCCATGTTCGTGTTTATGCGTTCAAGTATTGTTCCGTTACATGTGGGGATTTAGTGCAGCATTGTAGCTACGGTGGCATTTGCTCAGTCTAACATGACAGTTGGCAATGCCGACGGGTGACGTGGCATATGTCGCAGGCCGGCTAATTACTGTCTGGAGTCAGGGGTGTTTGGTCGCTTTTGGGGCATGATCCTGCGCGACCAGGTATTGAGCCACCTTCGAACGGGATTGCTGGATTGGAAGGCTTGCGCAGAGTGTTCGGCTCGTGTCTAACTTGTTTTGAATTGGCTGATGGCTGCGAGTTGCAGTGCAGCACCAGCAAACATTGTCACACCAACAAGTTCTTGGAGTTGGAGTGATCATGCTCTTGCCGTTCAAGTTCGTTGTATTTCATGTGCCGGGTCTTGGCAAGGTGGTTGTTGTAAGCTAAGAGGTATGCAGTGTAGATCAGCCGAGATTGACCCACCGGTGCTGTTTCGGGTTGCATGCCCGTCACAGTTTGCCATTGAATTAGCGCAGACACAAGTTTGGGCCGAAAGTCGACCGTTCTCTTGAGACGTCTAGCATAGGGAGCGAAGACATAGCAGCAGGCACAGTAACTCCGACGCATCTTGCTCATTGCCGGCCAGAAGAAAACTCACTGTAACATTCCACATCTAGTGCATGGCTACCAGGCTACCAAACAGACTACGTGTGCTCTGTGTTATGTGACCGGCAAGTAACATTCCCATGTGGATCAGAACATATCTTCAGTGCATTGACATCTGTGATCGTTTCGGATTTTACGGTGCAGCGGTCGAACGGAACGTAATTGAAGGTTCATTTCCCTCACTGGGATCGGACGATGACTTTGACGAGGAACGGTTCTACCGACCGGACCGACAACGCCCAGGCCTGTCGTGCTTGCGCCCAACCTTGCCTGGAATGGCCTACCGTCGATGTTCCCAGCGGCGCAAACCTAGCGCGGCATAAGAAAGGAGCACATTGCTTGCTTCTGAAGTCCCACAGACTCCACAGACGACAAGCTTGATCCATCTAGACAACTTTGAATCTGTTTGTTTCACGAAATGCAGTTCTGCGGACGGTTCCTCTCCTAAGCCTAAGTTGGGTTGTGCGGTGGGAAGGGGGGCTGCATACATAGAAGGACAGCAGCCTGAGAAGTCGAATGAAGCGCCAGTTGCAGTTCAGCATCTTCGCGAACTTTTGGATTAGTCGCGAACTTTTGGATTAGTGTGAAGTCAGCATGTATGTGGGTGATATCCTTGTTACGGGTCCGACGGCTGTCGTCGAAACGGTCGTTGGTCACGTCAAGCATGTACCAGGTTCTCGGAATTGAGAAGTGTACCAAGTTCAATTGCGAGGCTGTTTTTGTGTGATCAAAGAAGTCTTGCAGCAGTACTGGACGGCGTTATACGGTTAAGGATCTTATGTTTTCGGTGCTTGTTGCCGCAAGTACTGTAATTGGTTTCGGCGATGTTTATGCCTTATGCTTAATTCGAGTGAAAGGTGAGTGGCAACAGGCGGTGATTTTGGGCTTGTCAGTCGGATGCACGGAGTAGTTCACCTCGCAGGTGGTATGCAAGACAACGTCGTGCACCACGCACCAGAGTCAGCTGACGAGCCAACTGAAGGCAATGCTTCTCGACGTGGCTTCCGCGAAAGATGTTGCTGTGGTATTAAAATCATATGTACTGTTTCTGATTATCATACGTTGTGCAGTATGTATTGAGTGTCAGGTAATAACTGTAAGGTATTATCGTTATTATTGTTACTATTACTGTTATTCGTAGTATTGTTAGTATTTCTTGAATGATTGATATTGTTGATATTTTTGGTATTATTCGTATCATTACTAGTTAGTCTCAGTAGCATTATTAGCATTATCAGTATTATTAGTAAGATCAGTATCATCAGCATTGTTGGTGTTATTAATATTGCTGAAATTCTCTGCATTATAAGTATTATTCGTATGTGTTTTAAATACATTATTAGTCTTATTAGTATGATTAGTATAATTGGTATGATTAAAATTCCGAGTATTATAAGTATGATTCGAATCGTTGCTATTCGTAGTAGTATTACTAGGTTAGCATCAGTAGTATAGTAAGTATCATGGGTATTATGAGTATTATGAGTCTTATTAGTATTATTGCTATGTATTCTTATTAGTATCATTAGTATAGTTAGCATTATTAGTATTACGAGTATACTTCGAGCTGTTGTTGTTATTCGTAGGGGTTATTTTTAGTATTGTGTTAGTATTGTTAGTATCGGAAGTATTATTAGTGTTAGTATATTACAGACATTATTTGTGTTATTGGTATTGTTGGTGCTGTAGTATTGTTGGGTTTGTCTAGTTTTCAGTATCATTTCTGTTGTTAATCTTATTGTCAAAACTTTTATGATAACAAGCAACAAGAATGTTAACAATAGTACTAATACGACTAGTACTACTAATATTACTGCCAAAATTAGCATCAGCATTAATACCAATTCTAATATTAGTGTTCATGATGAATGTTAACACTAATGTTACTACTAATGCTATATGAATATCAGTGTTGTTAATGTTATTACTAATGCTATAGTAATGTCAGATTCATTAGGATTAATGTTAGTAGTTAACCATCAAAAACAATACTACCAATGATAGCATGAGTTTTTGTATTCAGTATTGTTAATACGAATAGCTTGTATTAATAGTAATATTAGTGTTAATATTATTAACATATTAATGCATTTCAACCTAAGAAACAAGTACACTGCTATATTCAGATATTAATGTATGTTTGTTTTTAAGCATTCATATATAGATGATTTAACATATTACAAGTTTTCTATGCGATGATATATCAACACAGTCTTGTTTCAATATACTGATCTATAAACATATCAAGATTAATGCATTAATATTGGTTTTAGTTCATCCTTATCATATACGGATGATTTAATTAATATGGAGATTCATAAGCACATTATATACAAGGATATGCTAATATTCAAAGCACTATTAATATTATTAATATTAGTTTTACATCAGAATGATAACAATAAGAACATTTTATAAGGATATGTTACCATTAAGAGTGATACTTTTTTTGAAATTCAAGAGTATGTATGTATGTATGTATGTATGTATGTCTGTCTGTATGTATGTATGTATGTATGTATGTATATCATTACCTAAAATTTCTATCAACATAAACATCACTTAATAGTGCTATTCTCCTTCTTATGTTGGTGATTCTGAACATATACGATCCGCAGCGATCTGGCAGGTGCAGCGCTGGATCCACAGAGTGGCTCGAGGGGCGAACAAAACGCTGTAACGGAAGGTGGGATCTTGGGAACGGCTGGGAGCCTGCAGTCGGAAGAAGGTGCTCAACAGACAAACCCTCCAAGCCGGTAAAATCTGAACCCGAAACACTTTTGGGGACAGTTTTGGTTCTTGACTTTGCAAGTCCTGGCGTGAGCTTGGATGCAGGCCGTGCAAGGGAAGAGCAAACTGCTGAAGGCAGGACCCGTCACCTTATACTCTCAGAGTGCAGGGAGATGAACATAGGGAATGAGTAGCAATGTTCCCTGACGTACCCCAAGACCCTATTCTGTCTATTCAGGGCCGATCTGCTAAGGTCAGAGTCCAGGGACGACAGTTGAACCCAAGTCAGCCTTTCTACAAGCACGAAGGTCTGCAGGACACCGAGCGGAATCCCTCGGACAACGCGCCAAAGCCGGCGCTCCAGCCAACCGAAGGCGAATCCTATCGAATCCTATTGACTTGGTGACTTGGTTTCTAGGCCTTACGGATTTGTTGTTTTCAGTTTTCCAGGTTTGGGTTTAAGGTGACTTAGGGTTGTCGGGGCTATAGGGCTTGGAGATTTAAGATTTAGAAGGTAAGCTCCTCCGAGCGTTTCATGGAGGGTTTGCATGCGATTTGCTGCGTTGGCGAGCGGTGATGCTCGATCGTGGGACGTCTCTGCCCTCAAGACCGAGAACGTGGTCTCAGAATGC